ATGGAAACTATTTGGCTTAGTTTTTGGCGTTTCCGCTAGGGGCGCCACCAGCAGAGTAAATCGGGCAAATCAGTTGCCAAACTCGAAACAAGANGCTATGTGTGGTATGCAATGTGTAATGTAGTGAAATGAATGAATGCGGTGATGATGTGTTGGTGATCGGTGGTTAGTATATATCATCAGTTGAGATTAAGATTAAGATGACAATGGTGGTGGTGGTGGTGTTCATTTACTGAGGTGCTCCTCCAACCGATGAGGCGGCGAAACAGGCGTTGTTGGAGTTGTGCGTAGTGGTCGACGGCTTCGTCGCCGCCGCTCCTCTACTGAAGATCTCCTTGACGTTGATGGCCAGTTTCAGCTTGCAAGAGTCCAGCGTGTAGCCGCAGATGGTGTCGTAGCAGAATCTGAAGAGAAAGTAGGCGTTAGATTTTAGAAACTATTTTAGGCCTCCTCCTCTTACCTCTTGAAGCGCTCCAGGTCCTTCTCAAAGTCGTCAATATCCTCGCTGTCCAGGTCAATGTCCGTCGGCATGAAGACCTCCTCTGTGATGATTCAACCATTAGAGATTATTTTGGGGATTAGGCTTTTTGCAGGTAAACATTTCAAAATGGCTAGCACTCACCTGGATTGGAGATGTTCAGCTCGATCTGCTCCTGCTGCTCATCAGAACTGCCGCTGCTCTCCTCCGAGGCCAAATGCTTGTTGTTCTCCTCGTCAGAGAACTCCTCCTCTTCACTGTTGTGAGCCTCCTCCTTTTCCTCTTCGAGATCATCATCTCCTTCGTCTTCTTCGTCCTCCTCATTATCGTTACTAATATCATCATCAAGGCCATTCGTCTGAGCCCCATTGCTGATGACTGCTTTGGTCGGAGGAGGAGGTGGAGGTGTGGCAGTGCGGCTGATGGGAACGCTTGTTTTGGTCTTTGCCTTTGTCTTTGCTTTGTCAGAACTAAAGGTCGACTTTGGCGGCAGCGGTTTGTGGGCGGCGGCAGTGGTCTTTGCGTGGCCGTTTACTTTTGGCGAAGGTTTAGCCCTTTCCTCCTTCCTCACCTCTTCCTTTTCCTGCTTCACCTCGACGCTGCTCAGCAGCTCCACAACTTCCTCCTCCTCCTCTTCTTCATCTTCCAGCTCCTCTTCCAGTTCCTCTTCATCATCCACTTTGGAAATCGAGGGCGTTGGTTTCTGCTTTGGAGGTTTCGTCTTCTCCAGCGAGGTTTGGCCATTCTTTTTGCTGCCATTACCGTTACCAGCACTGTCCTCCTTGTTCTTCTGCTTCTTCGACTGCTTGGTCTTCTTCTTGGCCTTGCTCTTTCGCTTCTTATTGCCACCACCTCCTTCCTCATTCTCATCACCACCGTTGATAAAGCTGAGCAGGTCGTCAATCTTCCGATCGTCAATGACCGCCTCCGCGCCGGCGCCCGCAGTGAAGCTCGCCGGATCGCTCGGGGCCGTCTCATTGTTGGCGTGGGCAGTGG